AATCAAACCTGGGTCTCCCTCTTGTTGTTGTTGTTGTTAAGTACCATGGAGTTAGTTCCGACTCATAGGGAACCCTACAAAGGGTTTCCGAGGCTATAAATCTTTACGGGAGCAGAATGCCTCATCTTTCTACCACGGAAGCTGATCTTGCAGTTCACAGCCCGATTCGTAACCACTACACTACCAGAGTTCCTTGGATCTCCCTCTTGGAAGTAGAGCATTCTATCACTGAACCACCCCTTAGGCTGGGCCGAGGAGTATGTCAGGAACCAGGATTCAGGTTCCTGCACTAGACAGATGAAGCAGAGTATCACTTTTTCTGTAAAGGGAAGTTGAAGGTATGTATCACTTTTCACACTCCTCTCATCTAAAACATTTGTGAAAAGGTTTCTGTGTTACAATAGTGACGGCAGTAGCTGTAACTGCCAAAGGATTTTCAACTCACCTCTATCATTAATTATTTACAATGACCCAGTAAAGCAAGCAAGCATAAACCAAAAGAAAAGCAAAACCTGTTGCCACTGAGCTGATTCCGACCAATAGTGACCCTCATATATAATAGAGCTACACTGCTCCATAGGGCTTTTTTGGCAGTCACCTATTTTTTTAGGGGAGCAGATTGCCGGGCCTTTTTTCCTCACTGCTTCTGGGTGAGTTTGAATCCCCAACCTTAGGTTAGTAGTTGAGCACAAATGGTTGACAGCACTCAGGGACCTTAAGACAGGCAGTGTTAGTCCAGATTTATAGAAGAAGAAGCTGAGGATCAGAGAGTTAGATTGTCTAAGTGTCAAATCTAGGGCCGGAACCTCATCTAATATGATTTCCATCATATCGTCTGAAAAGAGGAATAATAAGAGAATGAGGGGACAGCCTCAAGTCTCTTGTCTAAGTGAACATGACAAGTACATATTCTCCCCGATTTGTTTCTCTGAGTTGTAGCAACTATGTCTAGAATAGTGATTGTAGGAGACTGGAACTGCAGTCTAACATAGAGTTCCCATGAGAGCCACTGTTGTTAAGTGCCGTTGAGTTGGTTCCGACCCATAGTGACCCAAGGAGCAGCTGGTGAGCTTGAACCACTGACCTTGCAGTTTAAATGGTTTTACAGTCTGGTGCATTAACCCACAGCACCACACCGGGACTCCTATGAGAGCCATAATGTTTTAGTTTCCTTCAAAAATACTTAAAAAATGTTTGGTAAAAATATATACAACCGAGCATTTGCCATTTCAACATATTTTTTTCTTATGAGTTCAACCCTGGGATGTAAGTAACGTTTGTTTATCGTGTTGTGCAGACATAGTGGAGGAAAGATGTTGCTGAAACCGGCTCCTCCCTGCAAAATGTGACTTGCGGACGGTCACAGTGCTGTGGCCCCCTGAATCTGTCGCCTCAGTCACTCAGTTGCACTTCAGGATACGGTGCTGATCAAGGATGACAGTTTGCTCCCAGAGTAGGAAAGTATTAGAATTAGCAAGGTCAATTCTCAGAGATCCAACAGGAAAGAAAGGCCACCTTTGCTCCCAAATACTCGATGATTATTCTTGAGGAAATTGTTTGAGTTGCAGATTAGTCTTGACATGAAGCTTCACAAATTCGCCTGGGTTTTCAGCCAGGGCAGGCACCTCTGTTATCAGGGCAGGGAGTTGAAAATCTTCAGCAAACACACGTTGATTCTCAACATTCCCATCATTATCGCTTGTGTGGAGGCCCTGTTTTCATTGCCCACTTTGTATGCCGGTAAATAATCCTCGCTGGCAGCGGGTCAACTGTATCTGGACACACAGAAGGAAATCTGGCCAGACCTGGTCAGGGCTGAACATTCCACAGAGCTTGTGCTGTAAAAGCAGCAAGCCTCTCTTTCCAGCTGGGAAACACGTTAGCGGGCAAACCCTGCTAATGAAATACAGGATATAAATGTGATAAAACCCAAGGTACTGGGCTGGCTCGGGTGGGTTCTTTTGAAGTTGGCTAAGTGGCTGTCAGGGGAAGGCTGATATTAGTATGTGTAAACACACAATCCGTACTGCTAATTGCAGTAAATCAGGTTGATCAGTCAGCTCTGGGATAGATACCCTGCATCCCTTGGGTACAGGTCAGAGCATCAGAAGCCACCAGTCAGCTAACACTGTGGGAATTGCATTTGGGGTCACAGCACTGCAATTGTGCCAGCCTGGCTGTGTTGAGATTGAGTGGGGAAACAGGGCCTCCACTTGAAGTAGGAAATAGTTGGAGGGATGCATGCACGTGCAGCACTGTGTGTGTGTGTGTGTGTGTGTGTGTAACATCTGGAACGGAAAGAGCTTGGTTTCTGCATCACAAAGACCTTGCTCTGCCACCAGCTGTGTGTCTTTGGAAAATTTGCTAAACCTCTCTGAGTCTTAACTGCCACTTGTTAAAAAATCAGATATCTATGCCATAGGGCATACATGTGGAACACTTCAACTCAGTAACTATTGCTTTCTCATTCTTTCTCTTGGAGAGAAAAGAATATCACTTCTTTGTCCAAAATAAACCCCCTGTTACCAGCATTCCACCAACATTCCAGTGTCTCTCCCCTCCACCTTCCCAAAGGAATTCAGTGAGACACAGTCTGATTTCTGCCAGTTGTTGGGGTTCTTGTTAAGTGTTATCAAGTAGGTTACGACTCATAGTGACCTGCAGGGTTTCCAAGGCTGTACATTTTTGTGGGAACCAGCAGGCCACCTTAAAGCAAAAAAGACATAACCAGGCACCACCAGAAATGACATTTCAACTTTTATCTACAGCCACAGGGGTTAGGATTTACAACACCTATTTTTTTAGGGGTGGACGCACAATCTAGTTAAAAAAATGCTGTGGTAGTTTTCTTCTCCAAAGGCAGTCCCAGTAACTCACTCTATTGCATGAATTGGAGTCCTGGTGTGGCACTATGGCATAATGTACTGGATGGAAAGTTGGTTTGAACCACAAAGTCGGTGGTTTAAATTCACCAGCTGCAGAAACCCTATATATAGGGTCACGATGCGTCAAAACCGGCTTGAAGGCACTTAACAATAAGTGCATGAATTGGGGTTTTCTGTGTCTCCCAGGCCAATGCTTAGATGGTGATTATGGGTTATTTTACAGCTCACAACCCTGATGAGGTCCCTCCATGTGATCTATTCAACCCAAACTGGGTGCTCAGTGGCCCCGATATCTGCAAGCCCATTTATTGATCCGTTTCACTGACTACTTTATCAAGGATTTCACGTGGGAAGTGGAGGGGGAAGTAAAATGAAGTGAGTGGTAGTGGGTTAAGCACTGGGCTGCTAACTGTAAGGTCAGCTGTTCCATGCCCCCTAGTTCCTCTAGGGAAAGGTGAGGCTGTCTGCCCCCATCTAGATCTACAGCCTCAGAATACGGTGGAGCTGTTCTGCGCTGCTCTGTAGAATCTTCCAGAACAGACCCTGCAGTGGTTTTACCCCATTGCTATCTTTTCATCCCCCACCCCCAACTCCTTTCCTTCTCGCAGGTCTACTTCTTTCTCTGGTTGTGTTTGATTCAACTGCCATCTCGTGTCAATCCTCCAGTCACCCCTGAGATTTTGTTGTGGGAAATCAGAGACTTGAGAACTTGTTTTTTTCAGCTGTTCTTACTTTAACAAGAAAATATGCCCCCGCTCCCTGTTTCCTTAGAAGCTGCATTTTATCCTGTGGTCTACTTCATCCCCCCAACTCCCTACCCCAAACACAAAAATTTAGTCACACTTTCCTCTCCCGTTTCCTCTCCTTTTTCACTTTCTTTATGGCTCTTCCTTTTATGCCTGTACGTTGGGGTTTCCACGCTTCATTTAGCTCAGTTGTGAACCAGCATGTCTGGTGATAGTCGGGGCTAGGAGCCCAGAGCTGGGTCGAGTACATGTTTCTGTATCACAAAACCCCCAAACCTAGCCCATTGTTGTGGGATCCATTTGGACTCACGGTGACCCCATATGACAGAGTAGAACCGCGTCATAGGTTTTTTTGTGTTTGTGTGTGTGATCTTTACTATGGCTGTTCTATTTTGCCTTGTAGGCTCGCTATGAGATGGAATGGGTTCCATGGTAGTGGGCTTGGGAGGTTTGCACTGAAAGAGAAAGAAAATACAGCTAATTATAGAGTCTTCCAGAACAAGACCCTAAAGTGGTTTTACTCCATGGACAAACAACAGGGACAAACAACACTTTTGTTTCTTTCTTTTAATTTTCTTTTCCACTCCTTTCCTTCTAGACAGACCATTCATTCTTCATGGTGACTCCAGGTAGATTTGAACTGTCAACCATTAAGCTAGTAGCTCAGCACAAACTGTGCCACCGGTATCACAAAAAACATCCTCTAAGTCACATTGGTTAGTGGGAAAAACTCTTGGTCTGAGTGGCCCTTAAACCTTAGGACATTTGTTCCAATCCAAGCAGCTTTTTCAATGGTTGTGACTTCTTTATGTAGCAAAACATAATGTGAGTGACAATCCTTTGTGAATGAAAACAGCTTTAGTCTGAAAGTTGAGGAAATACATACTCCTATGTCTTTGTGTTTCTCACTCTTAATTTAAATGAACGGAAAGGAAGAGTCCTTCTGTACTCTTGGACACATTCCAATACAATAAACATGTACTTTTTAGAACTAGAAAGCTGTATGCAATCAACAAAGGCTTTTCCATTTCAGGTGACTCGTGCCATGATCTTGGGGCTTGATCACATGATCTGATTCTTTGTTCTTAGGTATCTTACTGTTTTGTTTTATATTGTGGTAAATATCTAGGTACCCAACATTCGGATATTTCAGCAATCCTCACATGCGCAACTCAGTAACATTAATGGTGCTCAACGTGTTGTTCAACCACCATCCTTATCCGTTCCTAAGCATCTTATTGTTTCAACTGTGTGTCTTAAACGGGGGCATTTTTGTTTTTAAAATAATGATGCTGTTAATACTTTCCACAGTGCAAAGCACAAAGTGGGTCTAACACTGTTTCTTTTTGACTTTCAGTTTTCCAGAACTATGGGGAACCCCCAATGGGCACTCCTCGTCTTAGGCTGTCTCCTCACAGGTACGAATCCCGGTCCTCTGCGAGTGCATTGCCCTGGAGAGGGTTTTGTTTCTAAGTTCCTAGTTCCTGTATTCTGTGTAGACAGTTCAGAAAAAAGACCAGAAAAACAGACCACCACCAATAATTAACCAGAATGCCACAGACTTTCACTCCCTTTTGCTGTATTGCACTGATTCCGCTTTTGAGAGAGCACCCTCCAGTGGCAGTTTCAATATATCTACATTCCTGACATTGAAATGGTCTCACTAGTAATAGTCCAAATTCTTACACAACTCTCTTCCTTTTTCTTGAATATGGGTTTCCAGTAGAGGTGGATCTGAGGATGTTAAGAATGTTTAAAGGAAACAAATAATAGAAAGTTCTGACTCAAGAAATCATACCTATTTGAAGTGGAAGAGGCTTGATTTGCTTGGAAATCTTAGAGCCACACTTTTCCTTAGAATCTAATAGAGGAAGTGTTTGACTCGTGGGGAATCTCATTAATTCTTCCCACCAGCAGGATGCTAATGGAGCTAAATATTTATTGGGATATTCATGCATTGCAGAATTCAACCTGAAAGCAATGCTTTCCTAATCTGAGAAGTTAGTTTGCTGTTGTTGTTATGTGCTGTGGAGTCAGTTCTGACTCATAGCGACTCTGTACAGGGTTTCTGAGGCTATAAATCTTTACAGGAGCAGAATGCCTCATCTTTCTTCCGCGGAACAGCTGGTAGTTTCAAATTGCTGACTGTGAGGGTTAGCAGCCTGATACATAACCGCTACCAGAGCTCCTTGAGAAGTTACTTTAACCAGTACCTTAGTGTTCAGTTCTTACTCAGATGGATATGATGAGTTTGAATGAGATCACCAATTGATTCTAAATTCCACTCAATATATATATTGCCTACCCATGGGTCTCTGGAACTCTGGTAGTATAGTTGAGTTCCGTGTTGTGCTGCTAACCACAATGCCAGCAATTCGAATCCACCAGCCCTCAGAAACTCTATACAGTGTTTCTGTGAGTCAGAACCGACTTAAGGGTACTTAACAACAACAACAATGGTCTGTCTCTGGGTGACACAGAAGCATTTATAGCCCCTATCTTAACAAGTAGCAGGAATGATACCCAAACTCAAACCCACTGGCACCGAGGTGATTCCGATTCATAGCCACTGGATGTATACAGGGTTTCCGAGACTATAAATCTTTACAGGAACAGACAGTCTCATTGTTTTCCCGAGGAGCAGCTAGTGAGTTTGAACCAATAACCTTGCTGTTAGCAGTCCAACACTTAACCCACAGTGTCACCAGGATACCTTAGCAGGAATGATAGTGGTCAGCTATGGAAGTTGGGTGTAATTTCCACATTAGGCAGCAGGGTAGACTAGAGAACATTAGCCAAGAATTGAGTAAGCCATAATATATCTCATATCAATTTTAGTTGTCTAGCGGAGCACCTGTGTACTGGCCCTGCGGGTTAATGCACTGGACTACAAGGTCAGTTTGAACTGCAAGGTTGGCAGTTCAAGCTCACCAGCCACTCCTCAGAAACCCTATACAGGGTCGCTATGAGTCGGAACTGACTTGATGGCACTCAACAAAAACAGGAGCAAACAATGAACGTGGAGTTTCCACCCTAAGTCTTACTCATTTTTTAAAAATAAAAGAAAAATATGTTCTTATTTTGAAATTAAAATCCACATAACCCTGCTTTGGCATCTGGAACTCATTAAAGAGAGCAGGCATGCCAGAGTGTTGCAAGAAATGGAAGAGGTGTCTTCTCGAACACACATCTGCTTTGTGCTTTGTTCCCTCAACCAGCCTCTGCCCGCCTAACTTCCCTGTTCCATTTGTCATTAGGAAAACCTCTGCAGGAAATGCAGACAAGGACGCCGCCAAATGTTCTCAAGCCTATACCCTCTTGGGAAAGTTTATGGTTGCCATAAGAGTCTGAAATATGGAATTGGACTCACACCTTCTCTATCCATTTGAGTGTCTGGAGGGACACTGAGGGGTGGGGGTTGGGGAGCTTCTGTGGCCTTTGGAGCATTTGCTGCTCTTGGCAGATGCAGTGGCTGTTATAATGGGGAGCCTTTCACAGCGTCCAGGCTAACGGATTTTTGCCTAGAAATGGCCATTATTGTTCAGATCCGATGCATCTATAGCTCTCTCAGTTCTCTGGGTGAGACCATCCCTTCTGGCCGCATCTTATTCAGAACATGTTTCCTTCACAGGACCTGGCCTCATAGTCTGCCAGCTTTCATTCCCCTCCATCCTTCCAAATGAAAATGAGATGGTTATGCAGCTGAATTCTACTTTTTCTCTGAGATGCTTTGGGGAGAGCGAAGTGAACTGGCAGTACCCCATGTTTAAAGTCGAGAATGTAGAAATTCGAAATGAGGAAAATAACAGTGGCCTTTTTGTGAAAGTGCTGAAAGTTGTCGGTGCCTTGGCGACCAACACGGGACTGTACACTTGCTATTACAACCACACGAAGACAGAAGAAAGTGAAGTGGAAGGCAGGCAGGTTTATATCTATGTGCCAGGTGAGTGGATGGCGTCCCGGGACCAAGTGGGCTTGTCTATGTCCTCTTTCTCATGTTAATGTATTATGGTTTTAAATTATAAAGATGGTTTGGAAAAAACATGGGAGAGCCCACACAAGTCCATAAAGATCATGTGTAATCTCACAACCAAGCAATGTTCATTGTCAACATTTCAGAGCTGTTTTAAGTTTGGAAATTCATTTTTTAAAAAATATGTCCCTTGGCATGGGTATTGTTAAAAAAACAAATCTGAAATATACAGATACGTATTCATTTCAGTGACATTCGGCAAGTATTAATTGTGTTTTCACTGTGTTAAGTGCTAAGGATGCAAAAAATTAATTGGATAGATCTGTCTTAGAATGGCTGACAATTCATTATAAGTTGTTTTTTTTTTATGACCATTATGCTTAATTTTAAGATTCAGTGCAAATATATGAATTGGAAGAGATTTTCATCATCTTTTAATTAAGATTTAGAGGGAAATCTTAAATTGATATCCAGTGTCCCCAGAAAAGAAAGGAGCAAGATAGGATTAAACGGAGTTAGTTAACTTGTTGGCTTTCAGTGGATTCCTGTTTCTGGTGACCCTATGTGTGTTCATGGTATTGTGCTGTGGGTTAATGTGCTGGACTGCAAGGTCGGTTGGAATCACAAAGTTGCCAGTTCAAGTTCATCAGCTGCTCCTCGGAAACCCTATACAGGGGTCGCTATGGGTCCGAACCAACATAACGGCACTTAACAGCAACAACAATATATGTCATAGTGGGTGCTTGGTGTAGGATAAGCACTCAACCATAAGGTTGGTGGTTCAAACTCATCAGCTGCTCCTTAGAAATCCTATACAGGGTGACTATGAATCAAACGGACTTGCCAGCACTTAACATGTGTGTCACAGTAGAACTGTACTCCATAGGTTTTCAGTGGTATGTATGTCAGATGTAGAACATCATATCTTTTTTTCCAAGACACTTCTGGGTGGATTCCAACTTCTAAGCTTTAGGTTAACACCTAAGTGTTTGCACCCCACAGGGACTCCAGGATTAAACATGAAAAGGTTTATTAGGGAAAAGCCCTATGAGAGTTAATGAGGAGGAATCCATTGTAAGTCTGATCCTGAGTGAAGCAGAGAAGGAAGGAAGGTGAGCTAGAAGTCCCTACTGTGCTGACGGATGGAGACGGGGCAAATGCAGTCTGGAGCCAGTAGGCTGTAAGAATCCCCTTGTGACTTCCGGGAAGGTTCTGCCTTAGAACTTGTCTCCACTCAGTTGCAGGGAAGCAGCCCTGCGGGGTGTGGTCTCCATGCAAATTTTGTGATGCATTTCAGAGGCAGTGCCCTTGGACAATTAGACTCCTGTAAGATTTACAGCCCCGGAAACCCTGTGTAGGGTCACCATGAGTCTGAACGGACTCCACGGCACATAACAACAACAATTGAGGATGCTTACTTAACAACAACAACAACTATGGCTACACTAATGGGCTAGGTTTAGACATGGACTTGACATGAATATGATCCACTTACTTAGCATTCAGAGTCCTGGGGTGGCTAAGCACTGAACTGCTAACCACAAGGTTAGCAGTTCAAACCCACTAACCACTCCTTGGAGACCTTATTTATACAGAGTTGCTATGAGTTGGAACTGACTTGAAGGTACTTTACAGTATTCACTGTGGTTTTGTTTTTTGTTTGTTTGTTTTTTTGGTAAGGATACTGCTTATCTATCTGTCCACCTATCCAGCCATTTATACATCTATCTACCTATCTATGGAGTCCTGGTATGGCACTGTAGGATAAGTACAAGACTGCAAGTTTGGTTTGAACCACAAGGTCAGTGGTTCCAACTCACCAGCCAGTCCTTGGAAACCCTATATTGGGTTGCTATAAGTTGCAACCCACGCAATGATACTTAGCAATAGCAAAACCTATCTGTATCAGCTTTTACTAAGAACAACTATGATGTCATTCACACATTGCCTGGCCAATACATGATGAGTAGTGGAGACTTGCATCTTAAAGGGAGGTCTGGATGATGTGGTATAGATACAAAACTATATTTTAAACTGAAATTAACTTGCCGATTTGTTTGCTGAAATCTTGGTTAAATTCTTATTAAAGAATTTGGAACTTTAAAAATAAATCCAAGTAATGACAATTCAGTATATCGATGGATGGATGAGTGGAAGGGGGATAGAGGCAGAGTACCTGCTTTGAAAACCAAGAACCCAACAGAGACCATGCTGTTTATAACTGTGACTAGCTTTGTTTTAGCAGAGGCAAAGTTATAGCAGTATGAATTTTAAATAAATAGTGTCTGTGATATAGAACTTTCTGACTCCTCAGGACTTTTTTTTTTTTTAATTAACTCCTATATCTTTTTTTGAAAAATCAACCAATGAAAATCCAGTTCTGTGGCTCACAATGATCGAAGTCCCCTGTGCATAGTTGTTGTTGTTAGGTGCCATCGAGTCGGTACCGACCCATAGCAACCTTATGCACAGCAGAACGAAACACTGCCCGATCCTGGGCCAACCTCACTATTATTGCCATGCTTGAGTCCTTCGATGCTGCCACTTGGCCAATCCATCTTGTTGGGGGTCTTCCTCTTTTTCCTCTGACCTTCCACCTTACCAAACATGTTATCCATCTCCAGCAACTGGTCCCCCCTGACAATATGTCTGAAGTATGAGAGATGAAGTTTGGTCATAGGGTTCCCATGAATTGGGAGCAGCAGGTAACAACAAAACTGTGGACATTCTCAGAGATCTGAACCCTCTACCTTTATTTCCTGATACTTTTAAGCAGAATATTCTTATCTTCCTTCTTAATAGTATAAAGTTTTATTTCACAAGAGGCGAGTGTTTTACTTAATTCACACAGAAATGCTACACTTCCATTCCTTTAGCCAAAGCCTCTAATGAAGAGAAGAGTGGAAACATGAGCTTGTTAAAGGTCCATGAGACTTGTCATTTCAGTTGTTTCAGATTGTACAAAATGCTTCCAGTTCACCCTTCTCCCAGCACAAACACCACTGAAGTACCCCGCATGGTTGGTGGACAGAAATCTTTTAATTTGTAATTATGGAGAATAAGGGGCCCTTTCTGAAACTGGTGCTTGAGACCCTTGGTATTTCTGACCACAGTAAGTTAAGTAGCTTGTTTTCTTTTGAAAAGAGAATTATCAAGCTATGGAATTATAAATCTTATTTATTACTTGAGAGATTATTAAAAAAAAAAAAAGATATGGTGTCTTAGTGGACCCCTGGTGTGGCACTGTAGGATAAGTACTGGACTACAAAATACAAGGTTAGTGGTTCAAACCCACCAACTGCTCCTTGGAAACCCTGTATAGGGCTGCTGTGAGTCGGAATTGACTCGATGGCACTTAATAACAACAATGACATGGTGTCTTAGTAGGGTAAGTCAAACAGTATTATTACTAGGGTTCCAGTTTATATATCCATAGGTTAATCCAAATAAAACGTATCTATAAATGTCTCTGCTATCTGCCTATGGCAGCAGCCACTTTCAGAAGTCCATGTGTCTTAATCTCCTTAGTTGTTGTTAAGTGCCGTCGAGTTGGTTTTGACCCACAACAACCCTGTATAGTGTTTCTAAGGAGCGGCTGGTGAGATTGAACTGCTGACCTTGAGGTTCAAATTGACCTTGCAGTCCAGTGCATCACATCATCACACTTGGACTTCAACCTCATTGGGCTGTCTTTAAAACAAGGTCCAGTCAAAAGAGTGGTTCCCAAGGGGATCTGCTGGGCCAGTTCAATCAAGACAGTGAGGTCAGCTCAGAAGGTTATGCTGACTATTTTGGGGGACTCCAAAGGGGTAATCTTGATAGATTTTCTGAAAGGTTACAGTACAATCATGGGTATTTATCATGAAGAAGAATTAAGAAGATTGAGAACTGCATTGGTAAGAAAAAGGACAGGAAACTTGCGCTGACAATTTTTTTCCCATCCTGACAATGCACCTGCTCATTCTTTGAGGGTAACAAGGACAGTCCTATGAGAATTTTGTTGGAAACCTTATCCCATCTATCCTACAGCACTGATTTTGCCCATTCAGATTTTTTGTTGTTGTCGTTGTTCTCCAAACTCAACGACATTTCAGAGAAACATGATTTGATTCTCTTGAGGATGCCAAAACTGTTGTTTTGACATGATGTAAATTGAAGAGTGCAGAATTCTTAGGGGAATGGTGTTGTTGTTAAGTGCCATTGAGTCAGTTCTGACTCATAGTGACCCTGCATAGGGTTGGAAACACTATCTTCAAAATGTATAGACCTTGATGAAAGATTTGTTGAGAAACAGTAACTTCACATTTTAGATATTTTTGCTTAATAAATGCTTCTATGATTTTGTAAAGGACACCTGGTGGTGTACAGAAACCTGTACAGGGTTGCTATGGGTCGGAACCTACTAGATGGCACTTAACAACAACAACAACCTGGTGGTACAGTGGGTTAAACAATAAGCTGCTAAACCGAAGGTTGACGGGTTTCTTTTGAAAAGATTCACAGCCTTGAAAACATATGGAGCAGTTTTATACTGTCCTATTGGGTCACTGTTGGAAGAGACACGACGGCGTTGAGTTTTAGTGATTTTGTAGCAATATTGTTTAGCTTACCCTCAGCTTTCTATATTGTTGTTGTTAGTTGCCATGGAATTGGCTCCAGCTCATGCCCAACTTATGTATAACAGAATAAAATGTTGTACTATCTTCATGATGTTTCATGTTTCAGATGTCATATATTTTATCCCATTCTGTGGTTATGTTAATCCGCCTCATTGATCACTACTGCCAATTTTATGAATTATTGGTAATATGAATTCTCAGAAGTGTTTCATTATTTTTCAGTCATGAATTTTTTTTCTCTTGTTGCTTGTTCTTTTGAACAGAGTTGAACTCTATTCTTTAATTGTCCATTTTTTAGTTTAGTTGTTTAGATTCTGATTTGAATTTCTGGCTAATATTTCCATTTAGCATCAGTTTCTTTTTAAATTAAGGTAGAGGCAATGTGGTGTAATTCATACTTTAAATCATCTCCTGGCTGATATGATAACTAAAGTTAGTGGGGAAACTTCTGGATGTGTGGGTAAAAGTAAAATTTCCACCTGAGATAATTAATGCCAATGGGATGATTTTTCTGGATATATTATGAAGGTGAAATTAATGTCTAAGAAGTTTTTGTTTTGTTTGTGGATTTGTTTTAAACTGCAGACCCAGAGGAAGCCTTTGTACCTCTGGACATGATGGAATATTTAATCTTCACGGAGGAAGAGGATGATTATGTCGTCATACCCTGCCGCACGACTGATCCTGAGACATCAGTAACCTTACTCAGTGGTGATGGGGTGGTCCATGCCTCCTATGACAGCAAACAGGGCTTTAACGGAACTTTCAACTTGGGGCCTTATACCTGTGAGGCCACGGTCAGAGGGAGGACATTTCAGACGGCGTCTTTTAACATGTATACTTTAAAAGGTATTTGTTCCCTCCCCTTCCCCTAAGGGTAATGGACAAAAAAATCATTTTCAAATCAGAGTCACTGATATTCGAGATTTTGAATTCCAGTTTGGGGATTTAAGACCCTACCTGTGCCATACAATGGTAGGCTGACCTTTGGGGCTATATAGTAATACTGTGTTTAAAATTACTAAAGGCAAAAATGCTGTCTTACCTCTGTAAGATTTCTTGTTTCATTAGTTGACTTCAAAACACATTGTAAGGAATTATTTTCTTACATAAGCCTCTTACTCACATTCCTAACCACAGTGCACCCCTCTGTCCCTCCCCCAAGGAAATACACATCCATGGGGGTTGGGTACCTGGATTAATTTTATTAACTTAAGAAAAGTGGTTTTAATTTTGAGAAAAGCTTGGAGTTGTCAACTTTATTCTTTTGATGTGAGTGATAAGTACGAATGGTAAAGTAAAAATGCAAGGTCAAGTCAACAGATATTCTTGAGCACTTTCTGCAGCAGAAAGAGCATGTGGTATAAATAGCTTGATGGGCTTCTTTTGTGCCAGGCTCTGTGTTAGGTTCTGGAAAAGTGGGCTAATAACTGGAAAGTAGATTGGAAGAAAGGAGGAGAATAAATGATGGGCAGGAAGGAGTAAAGTGCCTAAGAAAGGTACCGGTCAGTAAAGGTTCACTGAATAAATGAAGACACACATCAGTAAAAAGGATTACAATCTAGCATAATCAGAATGAATCCAAGTGTTGAGAACTCTGTTATTCTGTTTAACAGGAATTGATTGTTGTTGCAATGATTGTTACTTTACATTTCTGTATTATATGCACACATACACACCCATTGGTGGCTGTCAGAGTAGAAACTGTGCTGTGTGGCTCTGAAAGACACTGAGTTTTCGGAAATAGACCTTCAGGCCTTTCGCCGAGACACCTCTGGGAGGACTCAAACTGAGAGTGTTAACCATTTGTACTATCTTGGGATTCTACCTGTCATGCCAAATGGTGTATACCAACGCAGAATGAAGGACTTTCAGATTTCAGAGCAATTGATAGACAAATTATTTGTTTCAGGGTTTTCTTAAACACACACACACAACTCTTACATTGTTGCTGTTAAGTTCCATTTAAGTACCAACCCATAGTGACCTTATGCAGAGCAGAATGAAATACTGCCCGATCCTGGGCCAACCTCACTACTGTTGCCACGCTTGAGTCAGTCCATCGATGCTGACACTTGGCCAATCCATCTCTTTGGGGGTCTTCCCCCTCTTATCGATCCTATTAAAAACAATAAACAAACAAAACCCCCAAACCTTATGAGATTCTAACTACACTATGGCTATTTAGGTCCTTGTGTTTGTTGTTTTTTGTTTTTATAGCAACGTCAGAACTTGACCTAGAAGTGGAAGCTCTGAAAACTGTGTATAAGACAGGGGAGACGATTGTGGTCACCTGTGCAGCCTTTAACAACGAGGTGGTTGACTTCCAGTGGACGTACCCCGGAGAAGTGGTAGGTACTGCCAAGGCTGGTGGGGGCATGTAGCGGAGCTCCAGGAAACTCAGGAGATGCGTATTCCTGTTATTCTGTTATTGAATGAACACACCCCGCCAAGCTTTCCTTGACCTACCATTTATTTGTGGTAGGCATTTTTTCCAAACCAAAGTACATGCTATTTGTCTCAAAAGTATGTAATTAAAATATTGCTTTTTAAAACAACTTTTTTTTTCTGATTATAAAACTAATACAGTTTATTGTTGAACCTTTGTAAAAGATAGAGAAACAGAGAACCCATTTCTCAGTGTCTCATTGTTAGTATTTTGGACAGATAAATTTAAAAAATATTTTTAAAATAGATTTTCTACATAGATCTAAAACCAAATTCAAACCAAACCAGTTGCTGTCAAATTAATCCTGACCCATGCAGCCTCATATTTGTCAGAGTAAAACTGTACTCCATACCAGGGAGATTCAAGAAGTTTGCAGAAACATTCCATTATCTTTTAATTCTTGTTTCTAGGCTCCATATGCACTTTGCCATTATACATCTGGCAGGGCAAAGCCTGTATACAAAAGACACGAGGTATATGTGTTAGATGCTGTCATGTTGACTACATCCTGTTCTCCCACAGAGATTTCTGAACTCGTATCATAAGGAGCCTTGGTGGCTCTGTAGGATAAATACTGGACTGCTGACTGTGAGGTAGGCAGTCCAAACCCACCAGCCACTGCTCAGTAGAAAGATGAAGTTTTCTCATAAAGATTTACAGCCTTGGAAAGCCTATATAGGGTCATGGTGTGGCACTGTGGGTTAATGCGCCAGACTGCAAAGCCATTTGAACTGCAAGGTCGGAAGTTCAAGCTCACCAGATGCTCCTCAGAAACACTATACAGGGTTGCAATGGGTTGGGATCAACTCGATGGTACCTAACAATAACAAATGTGCTGAATCTACTTGATGGCAATGGACTTTTGATTTTATTATAATTTTGTGGATCATGGATGTATATGCAGTTGGACATTGTCCTAACAGACATTATACAATGCATGATTGTATACACGCTTAATAATGAATTGTTACATGTTTTTCTCCTCAGCAGTATAGGACAGGCACTTTAAATGTCATTAAATATCCTTCTAAGCAGGTAGCTTTTAAAAAGTGGCTTTCATCTCCTTCTTTTATAGAAAGGCAAAGGCTTTATAACACTCAAAGAAATCAGAGTCCCATCCATCAAACTGGTGTACACTTTGACAATCCCTGAGGCCACGGTGAAAGACAGTGGAGATTATGAATGTACTGCTTGTCAGAACACCAAGGAGGTCAAAGAAATGAAGAAAGTCACTATTTCTGTTCATGGTATAGTCTGCTTTCTAAACTGCCCGTTGTCCATGCTGCTCGGGATCCACCATGTGGTAATTCTTACTTAATGGAAACTTTTCCTTGTGCAGAGAAAGGGTTCATTGAAATCCAGCCCAACTTCAGCCAGTTAGAAGCTGTCAACCTGCACGACATCAAACATTTTGTGGTGAACATAGAGGCCTACCCTCCTCCCAGGGTATTCTGGCTGAAGGACAACCTGACACTGATTGAAAACCTAACAGAGATCACCACAGATGTCGAACAGATTCAGGAGACAAGGTAAAGACAGACCTTTCCCAAGCTTGTCTTTTCTTTTTCGTTGTGTGTGCTCCATAGACAGAGGTGTGTGTCTGACAACTCAAACCAAAAGTCAATCTGTTAAGCTTAACAATCTGATTTAAATGCCTGAAGGTTCTGGGGTAAGGTGGTGGACTAGACAGATACGCTGAGCTCAGACAAGGACATGAGAGACCAAGTGAAATAGGTATGAATGGTGATCCTAGAACCCTGAGTTTCAGAGGAAAGGATAGAGAGGTAGACTGAGTGCTGCCTGGGAGAGGAATTGGAGTGGAAGCAGTGAGAATGGAGGTGGATGGGTGGGCTGTCAGCTGACCTGGCCATCTTGAGATTTTCAGGGCAGCTGTCAATTGACATAGTTGCCTGGTGGCACAGGATGAGACTGGAGGTTGGTGGTGAGTGGGGTGTGGTTTTCCCTTGTTCTCAGTGCTCTTATGGTAGCTGGGGCATGGCCAGGAGGGCCCACCCTCACTTTCCCAGCATCCTGTGCAGCCTCTGCTCTTTCTGGAACCAGGCACTGGATATAACACCCCATTGTTGTAGGTGTGTGAATTCCTCAAGATATATATATATTTTTTTTCTGTTGCTTGTTTTGGACCGACAGCAATTGTGCTCACACAGCCCATCCATATCCGTATCTCCTGCTGCTCCACCCACTGAGCTAGTGCCACTACCCATTCTTGGACCACCTGTCCAACAAAACCCAGCCAACATCAGGCAAACCTACTCTGACCAAGCAGCAAACAAAGAACTACACTCATACTTTCAGTCTCTATTACACCCACCAGGAGACAGATGCTGAAATGCCTAAGAACACATCAACATGAAAATATCAATTAAATATAAATATGACAACAGATAACTTCAGCATACACAAAGAATCAAAGACATACTGGCTCAAACAAGTGACCAAAATTTAGCACCAGAGAATATGATACCAGAAATGAAATTGGAACGAATTCAAAAGAATGATACTCAAGTACCTCCAACGGATTGAGAGAAAGACTGAGAAAACTTCAGGTGAAATCAAGGAAAACACAGATAACATTTTAGAAGAATCCAGGAAAACACTACAAGAACAAACAGAACAAAATAAAAAATGAGAAGTCATACAAAAACAGCAAATAGAAATCCAGAAGATTAATACTATAGTTGCAAAAATAGATAATGTATTGAAAGGGCAAATGAGTAGTATTGAATCCATGGATTGTTGACTTAATTAGCTTGAAGACAATTCTTTCATCATTCATCTTCTAGAGGAACTATCAGAAAAAAAGAACCAATTATGTAGGACATCATTAAGAGGAATAATTTATGTGCAATTGGCATTTCAGAACAGGCAGAGACTGGGAAAAAAAAAAAATCACAGAAAAAATTATCAGAGTTGTTGGAAGAAAATTTCCCTAACATCATAAAAGATGAGAAAATGCATTCAAGCAGATGAATGAACTCCAAACAGAATAAACTACAAAAGAAAATCACCAAGATATATTTTAATGAAACTTACCAAAAAACAAAGAAAGGTAAGAATCCTGAGAGTAGTTTAGGAAAAACACAAAAAGATACCTACAAAGAAGAACCAGTAAGACTAAACTTTGATTTCTCAGCAGAAATTATGTAAGGAAGAAGGCAATGGGATGACATATATAAAACTCTGAAAGAAAAAAAATTGCCATCAAGAATCATATACCCAGCAAAATAGTTCCTCAAATATGATGGCGAAATTAAGACATTTCCAGATAAACAGAAATTAAAAGAATTTCTAAAACTAGAATAATCTTACAAAAAAATACTAAAGGAAGTTTTTTTAAAAAAATGCTTTATTGTGTGTTATGTGATAGTTTACATGGGAGAACATTAGCTTCACATTGATCCCATCATTTATTGTTTCCTTGCCATGGTTATAATCCCCTCTATGCATCATCCACCAACCACAGGGTATACTCTGAAAGCCTGCTCCCTGATTGTCAGCACACAGCCCCCTCCCTCTCTGGGTACAAAGTCCCCAGCCGCTCCATCTCTCCACGTCGTCTCTGCCTCTATCTCTGGCATCACTGCTTCTGTGGGTGGGGTTCTGATCTCTGCTCTTCTCCCTTGATGGTCCCAGGGACCTTAAATGGCATTCTTTGGCTAGAGAACTAACAATAGCAGCCAGCAACCTGTGATTAGTATACATAACTCAACCCAGATATAGAAGTAGCCAAAGTAAAAGAAATTTACAACACTGAAAATAGAGAACCAAAAATATTAGTTTGTATCAACAAAAAAAATGACAAATAAAAAGAAGGAATAATATAGTTCCAAATCCAAAATATATTATCTAGAGTTCAAGAATTAATAAAATAAAAGGAAAACTCATTGTAATCCTAAAACGAGACCAAACCTATCCCTAGACCTAGTGCAACCCCTTCCCCTAACCCTAACACTAACTGTAGTTCTAACCCTAACCCTAACAATATATGAAGCCCTATGCCTATCCTA